TAAAACTATTGTCTTCATCTAAGCCTTCAACTTGGATGTTAGATCCAGTTCCAACCAGGTTATTTAAGGAGGTATTCCGTTTGATCTCCTCCTTCATTTTAGATGTGATTAATCTTCTTCCTCTTAATCTATCTGGCTTTAGAGCTCATCATAGCACTGAAACAGCTCTGGTGAAAGTCACTAATGATATTCTCATGGCCTCAGATAATGGACTTGTATCTGTGCTCGTCCTGTTGGATCTTAGTGCTGCATTTGATACAGTTGATCATAATATTCTTTTAGAAAGACTTGAATATTTTGTTGGAATTAAAGGAACAGCACTAGACTGGTTTAAATCTGATCTATCTGATCGAATTCAGTTTGTTCATGTTAATGATAGATCTTCAACACGCTCAAAGGTTACCTGTGGAGTACCACAGGGATCAGTGCTAGGACCAATTCTCTTTACTTTATACATGCTCCCAATTGGTAGAGTTATTAGACAGCATGGTATTAATTTCCACTGTTATGCTGATGATACCCAGCTATATCTGTCTATAATCCAGATGAAGCTAACCCATTACATAGATTACAGGCATGTCTGAAGACATAAAAACCTGGATGACTCTTAACTTTCTGCTCCTGAATGCAGACAAAACAGAAGTTATAGTCTTTGGACCAGAGTCTCTGAAAAATAAGCTGATTAGCCAGTCACTTCATTTGGATGGGATTAAACTGATTTCAGATAATAAAGTAAAAAATCTTGGTGTTATTTTTGATCAGGACCTGTCATTTAAATCCCAGGACAAAGAGGTTTGTAGAATTTCCTTCTTTCATCTGAGGAATATTGCAAAAATTAGAAATCTCCTGTCCAGGGGTGATGCTGAGAAACTAGTCCATGCATTTGTTACTTCTAGGCTGGACTATTGTAATTCTTTACTATCAGGAAGTCCACAAACTGTAGTTAAAAGCCTTCAGCTGATCCAAAATGCTGCAGCCAGAGTTCTAATGAAAATGAAAAAGAGAGATCATATCTCTCCTATCCTGGCTTCTCTTCATTGGCTTCCTGTTAAATCCAGAATAGAATTTAAAATCCTCCTTCTCACATATAAAGCCTTAAATGGCCAAGCTCCATCTGATATCAGAGATCTGATTGTTCCTTATGTTCCTAACAGAGCACTTCGCTCTCAATCTGCAGGTTTACTAGTGGTTCCTAGAATGTCTAAAAGTAGAATGGGAGGCAGATCTTTTAGTTCTCAGGCTCCTCTCCTGTGGAACCAACTACCAGTTTTAGTCCGTGAGGCAGACACCCTGTCTACTTTTAAGGCTAGGCTTAAAACTTTCCTTTTTGATAAAGCTTCTAGTTAGGGTGGCTCAGGTTATCCTGAGCTATCTCTATAGTTATGCTGCTATAGGCTTAGACTGCTGGAGGACATAGGGACCCCTTTTTCATCATTCTGCTTCATTCTATCTCTATTCTCCCACCCTGCAGAATCTGTTAGTTCAATCTCTAACGTTCTGCTCTCTCTGCTTTTTCTCATAGTAGCTTCATCTGGTCTGTTCCTGTTTGGCTGTGACTCCATCCTGGAGAGAAATATCAGCTGTGCTGCTGCCATCAACACCCTTGTTTAGAGATGATGAAGATCGGCCTGTTTTCCAGTGTAGTCCTGTTTCCCTGACTGTGACTAAATGGATGTGCTCTCTTCATCCTCTGACATGGGAGCTGGCTCGGAGCTCGTCTGCCTGGCTGTGCGTTTCCTGGAAGGGGCCGCCTTTTACAGCTGCTTTTTGTATCTCTGCTTCTGTCTCCTTGAACCCCAGCTGGCCTCAGCAGATGGCCGCTCACACTGAGCCTGGTTCTGCTGGTGGTTTCTTCCTGTTAAAAGGGAGAAACTTTTTCCTCTCCACTGTCGCTACAAGCATGCGTGAGGGATTGAGTCAATGAATCGATCCAATCAACTGGTGTCCTTAGAAAAGTTTGAATCAATTTGACTGGATGATCTGGTGAACTGTAAAGTGCCTTTAGATGACATGTGATGTGAATTGCCGCTATATATATATATATATATATATATATATATATATATATATATATATATATATATATATATATATATATATATATAGAGAGAGAGAGGTTTATTGGAAAAACAGAAAATGTGCAATATGCAATAAAAAAAAAACTTGACAGGTGCAAAGATTTTCGTACCCTAATCATTTTATTGCTTTAAATGCCCTAAACTTCTTTTTTTACTTACTTACTGAAACACAAAATTGGTTTGATAACTTCATTAAGATTTGAACTTCATAACCAGGTTGATTCAATAATAACAAAATGTATTTAAGGTTAACAATTGCAAGTTGTTCTTCTGTTTGAGTGGCATTGGCAAAAAAAAATCAAAAGTAGAGAAGAAGAATGGTGAGAATGATCAAGGACAACCCACAGACAGTGACGTGCGGTCAGGGGAGGCAGGTGAGGCAGTGCCTCACCAGCCATCATGGAAAGAAAGAAAATATATAATCATAAAGTAATTTAAATTGTTATATTCATCCGGTGGTTTGTACTAAAAAATATTCATTTTTCATGTAGCTTCACCAATTTCGATTTTTATTTGTTCAAAATCGCTGAATTTTCTTATTTTCCCATTCAAATGCTTGGAAGCGATGCCGGTGAGGCAGCAGCGAGCTCTGCCTCACCTTGGATTGCGCAACCCCTGGCTCTGCGCTGGCTGCAAAGCGGAGAGAGCATGTTGCTGTACGGCGTCAATAAAATAGTTTAAACAAATGTAATATGTGAACTTATTTCTAATAATTTGGCTTATGTATATAATGTACAGAGCTTTTTGTCACCAACTGTGTTTGTGTAACGTGTTTCGTGTAATGAGCGATTATAAACGGCAGAGAACAAGTTCGAGGTGAGGCAGGCAGTTCTCTTGCCTCATGGCAGGGGGTGCTCAAGAGACTGAAAACATAAGGCAGGAACAGGACGGATCAAGGAAGGCTTTCTTCCCTGGCAGTGATCTCCATTGAGACAGAGAGACTTTTAAAACTGAAGGAAGATAAGGAGGACTTCTATTCATTTATAAGTAAAGGTAAGACAGTAATAACATTTATTTTGTTTTGTTTTTTAAGGAAATGTGTGTTTTGTGAGCTACAGTTTGTATGTGTAAGGATGCAGAAGTGAAACATAACCTGTAAACTGCTGTCAATCTATGCATCTATTTGCAAATCTGATTCTGATGACGTCAGTGCCTCACCAGCTATGAACCTCACCGCACGTCACTGCCCACAGACCACCTCCAATCCACAGAACACCTCCAAAGAACTGCAGCATCATCCTGCTGCAGATGGTGTCACTGTGCATCGCTCAACAATTCAGCACACTTTGCACCAGGAGAAGCTGTATGGGAGAGTGATGCGACAGAAGACTTTTCTGCAAGAACGGCAAAAACAGAATCGCTTGAAAAAGGGACCTTCAAAAGTCTTTTGCACTGAACACTGAACATTTAACATATGTCTTTCGTTGTTTTCAATTCGCAATTATAGGTAGAATGTCTATATCGTAGTATGTCTTAACTGTAGCATGCTAGCCTAGTAAGCAAGCTAATATGCCAGAAAATTTATGGTTTGGAATTGATCATGGGTGTGTTCAAAAGTTATCATTCTTAGTAGCTGAGTATACACCAACCTGTAGCCTTTAATTCGTTTGTGCAGAACCGTCTCAGTGTGTGGGAAGGAAGATCCCTTGAAAAGAATTACTGTGTATGACTAGGGTGACCAAACGTCCGTATTTCCCGGGACATATCCGTATTTCACGTCCTGTCCCGGGCGTCCCGGGTTTTTTTTAGAAAGTGAGGAAATGTCCTGATTTCACTGCGCACGACGCTCCGTGTGACGTAATCCCTGAGCCGCGTCAGTGCGGGCAGCCCTGCTCTTAATCAGAGGCTCTGTTCCAAACCTGGGCTGCATCCTCCAAGGACGCGGTTTACCTAGACTGGATCCTTCGAAGTCCTTGAAAATAAGGAGGCCAGAAGAGTTCTGTCTGTAAATTCGAACAGGTCCTCCCTTCGGCGGGTTTTACCGCCGTATGCTCTGTTGCTTAGCAACCGTGAAAGTTGACACACAAAGCAGGAAAAGAATGAATACCGAGGTTTTCAAAACTGTTTGTTTATTTATTTATTTTTTAAAAAGTTAAAGTGAACAAAGACTACACTCACAAGAATCCAGAGTGGAATAAAGGTTCCAACCACCGGGAGCAGGAACAAATAAAATCCAATGTAATGATAGAAACCTTATTCAGTTAAATAACCTGCTGCTGTCATTCTGCACATCTCTGATGTTTCTGCTTTTTTCAAATATCCATTATTGTAAAAATGTCCATAGCTGCATACACTTTACAGAATTTAATTTTTTATATTTTAACTCTTCCCTATTATGTTATTCTAATACATTTCTCTAAGGTCCTCATTTGTGTGACCATTTTCAATAATCTTTTTGCTGCTGTAAATTTGCCCTTTGTGGGACAATAAAGGGATTTTCTATTCTATTCTATAAAAGGGTTAGAAATATATAAGTAAATCTAAACAATGTATCTACAAAATATATCTGCAAAATCTCTAATATTCAACAACAAAAAATACGTAGTTAAGCATATTGTGCAAAACAACAATAAAAAAATTAAAATCCTATCAGATTTATAGTCCCCACCCTGCAGATATATTAGAATCTGTCCTTAAATTACAGCCAAAACCCATTTACACAGTAACAGATTAAAACCTTTAGATAAACCAAACATTACCGCCAAATATCTGACTCAATAACCATTAAAACAACTATTTTCATTCATTTCAGACGGAACTATTCACAGAGTTGTATTATTATATTAAACTGAACTTCAAATTTTCACAACTGTTCTGCGCCAAGTAACATTTCCTCTGATCACGGAGCAAATCCCGATGATGAGACAATTCCCCCTCCAAGGTGTCCTGGTTTTCCCAAATGAAAATATGGTCACCCTATGTATGACACCAATTAAATGTGCATTTTCAATTGCATTGGCTTTTCCTTCACATAAAACTTTCATCCAACCTGTGACCACTGTTGGGTTCAAAAATGTAGGTTCGTAAAAGAGGAACTGAGTCTACACAGAAGGGGGATTTTTAACAACTTCTGCAGAAGGAGAGAGTTATATTCAGCTCACTACTCTCTGACGGCTTCCTCTGCAGAAGCCTTTTTATTAGCAGATCATAACACATGGGGTGGGTTACAAAATAGAGTGTTCTTTTGACAAGGCAATTGATCAGGTCATAGGACAAAATGCTCCTCTGATTGACTCACAGAACAGAGTGGTCTTCTGATAACTGTGATTAGCCTTGCAGAAACATCAGTAATTTTCCACCACCGTTGCATGACAGTTTGCAGTAAACAGAGTGAAGCATCTAATTTCTCCAATGTTTCATATGTACACACATTAACTTTATAATCATCATTGAATAAACCTAACAAGCACCAACTCCTCATTGGAAAGGCTGATATCGTTAGGATTCCAGTTTGTGGGGGTTATTTTTTTCTTTTTCAGTTCCTCCGTGCATCCACCAGATGGTGCCATTGTTCTCTGCTGGTCTGGAGTGCTTCATGTTCTTCTCGCCTCTCACACCTGCAGCCTATTTGGTCATCACTTCCTGTGGAGTATTTAAGCAGCAGACTCTCTTAACTTCCTCGCCAGAGTATTTGCCAGTATTGGGTACTCTAGCCCCTCAGAGTTTTGCTGAGTCATACTTTGAGGTCCTGTTTCATCTGAGCTCTCAAACACTAACCAAGTTTGTCTTTTGATTCTTCGGCAGGATATCTATGGATCCACTGGATAAGCCAGGTCCTTCTAGTCTTGGAAGGGACTCTCTTGTCATGCTGAGAAAAGGAGACAGATCTCCTTATGCGAATGCCGTTCACCTCAGGAACATAGTGACGGTCTGCTCTGCAGATCCTCAGGACCACCATAGTCTGCCTGTCCGCCCTCCAGCGGAAAACACCTTCTACAGAGCAAGCCTCCACAAACAGGAACTCTGGAACCTCCCCAAACCACAACAGTGAGTCCAAGTCAAACCTTAAATTCAGACATCGGCCTGTTTTCACACAGTCCTTGAACTCACCACTCTGATCTCCTCCTAGAGCTTCCGCTTCTGGTTCAACAGATCACTGGGACCTCCCCAAGCTGAAGAACAGTTTTCTGTGTCTTTGTACTACTTTTTCTTCCAATAAACTGTTTAACTTTTTTCAAATCTCTGTGAGTGCTCCTGCATGTGGGCAAGACACATTAGACCCATTATGACAGATACATCCTCTTTACTAGCTAGTGAAAAAACAATTATCATCCTTTATTAACCTTATCATGTTTCTCCCTAAAAAGGTTAAAAAAACAATCCAAAGTACTTTATTTCCAAGTTTGAAGATGTTTCTCTTCCCATCCAGGAAACTATTTTAATTCAAAATGTCAGAATTAGTGTTGAGTTTGAAGCTTTAGCCCAAAACATTGTTTTGGCTTGGAAAACAGAAGACATGAAGGAATTTAAGAGAGAGAAAATCCAACCTTAAACAGAGGGGGTGGACTCAGGTTTCAGCTTTCTAAAACCTACAATGCAGCGATAGAGTTGATTCCTTCTATCATCTCAATCCTCATCGCCATGCAGGGGACCAAGACATCTTGAGTGGTTAGCCAGGCCAACAATTCCCCCTAACGTTCAGAGGTATAGATCAGTATCAGGTATTGCAGACTAACAAAGAACCCAACAACTCCGCATTCCTAAGGGGCGGACGCGTTCTTCTGGTTCAATTGACATGGTTTCTAAGCCAAATCAAGTTTTTGGGCTACTATATAAAGCTTCAAACCAAACGCCAATTCTGGCATTTTCAATTGAAAAAGCTTCCTGGTTGGGAGGCAAAATGTTTTCTAACTTGGAAACGAAGTCCAGTGGATTGTTTTTAACTTTTGGAATGACTCTGACCTGGATGACTGAGAATCTTCATCAGCTTAGCATGTTTCCACACATTTACTGCCCATTTCAAGTCCACAACTGCACCCTTTAGTAGAAAGAAAAGGGAAAGCACTTGTAAATGTTGTTAGATATCACACTCTTTACATATGTAATTAATTTACAACAATGATAGAACTAGAGCTGCTAGAGGAGAGGGGCCATCAACCTCCACTCCTCTGAAATCAGGATTGCCTCCCATTATAACAGCTTATATGGGGGAGTCGGACTGGTGCTGTTCATTTCAGTTTCAATTTCAATTCAGTTTATTTCTATAGCGCCAATTCACATCACGTCATCTTGAGGCACTTTACCGTTCACCAGATCATCCAGTGAAATTGATTAAAGTTTTCTATCCAAGGAAAACCAGTTGATTGCATCGACTCATTGACTCTTTAGCAATCCCACACACTAAGAATGCTTGTAGCGACAGTGGAGAGGAAAAACTCCCTTTGAACAGGAAGAAACCTCCAGCAGAACCAGGATCAGTGTGAGCGGCCATCTGCTGAGGCCGACTGGGGTTCAAGGAGACAGAAGAAGACGTAGAAAAAGAGGCATAGATACAAAAGGCAACTGTCAACCAGCTCCACAGGCGGCCCCGTCCAGGAAACACACAGCCAGACAGATGAGCTCCGAGCCAGCTCCCATGTCAGAGGATGAAGAGAGCACACTGTGCTTTTTCTCATAGTAGCTTCATCTGGTCTGTTCCTGTTTGGCTGTGACTCCATCCTGGAGAGAAATATCAGCTGTGCTGCTGCCATCAACACCTTTGTTTATAGATGTTGGAGATCGGCCCTTATATATCTACAGACCCATCGTGGAACGGACGGACGCGTTTGTACTGCTAGTGTCCAAGTAAAGAATTGTACCTATGTTCAGACAGCCTCTAAAAGTGTATATGTTGATGGTGCTCAGAGATATGCTACCCCACTGTTACGCCGGACACCAGTCCTTACACTCACTGCATCTCAAAATACAGTGATGCACAACCTCAGCAGCACTGGACGTAGGTTAGTCAAAAACCCTATCCAAGCTGCCTCATACTGTAAGTAGGTTGAGATATTCATCCATTCACGTTATGTGGCAGAGATCTCTGCAGAGGAGGAATCTAAGTCTACAGAGTCTTGGTATGTCCCCCATCATATGGTGCACCACAATGGGAAGGACAGAGCAGTCTTTAATTATTCCTTTTCCTTAAATTGCCTGTCACTAAATAACCAAATACTACCCAGGCCAACTCTCAGTCCAACTGTGATTGGAGTTCTGATGAGGTTTCGTTCTCATGCTATGGCAATCAGTGGGGATATTAAATCAATGTTCCACCAAATTCATTTATTACCCTGTAATAAACCACTATTAAGATTTCTGTGGCAGGACACGCATAGGAAATCTGAACCACGGATCTTCCAATGGGAAGTGTTACCATTTGGAACAACGTGCAGCCCTTGTTGCGCAGTCTATGCCTTACAACAGCACGTCAGGTACTATGATCCATCAGGCTCTCTACTCCGGCAAGTGATTGAGCGCTCGTTCTATGTGGACAACTGCCTCCACTGTGTGAGTAAAGCTGAGGATGCCAAGATGCCGACTGACAAACTGCATGCACTTCTGGCCAAGGGAGGCTTCGAGATCAGGCAGTGGGCTAGTAACATACCCAAAGTAGTCACACACCTACCTCCTGAAGCACATTCAGCTAGCAGTGAAATATATATCCACACTTGGACCATGCTGGGATTGTCTGAATGACACCCTAAGCTACAAGCATAACTGAGCTGAATCTTCAGTCGCCACCCTGCGAGAGGCCTTGCCAAAGTTTTTGACCCTTTGGGTTACATTGTCACATTCACCACCGGATGTAAAGTGCTGATCCAGTACATGTGGAGGTCTGGTATTGGCTGGGATGACGAAATCCAACCTACCATTCTACTGGAGAAATTGTTAAGTTGGGTTAAAGAGATTTCCATTCTGCAACAGCTAAGGCTGCCTCGTCCTTATGTACCAGTAACAGTCATTACTGATATGGCAAACCGTCGCATACAGATATTCTGTGATGCATCGGAGCATGCTCACAGGTCAGTAGCTTACATGCAATGCAATGCAGCCAATATGCCTATGTCACGTTCGTGTTCGGGAGTTGTACCCCGTAAGCAGCTGTCTATACCACGCCTTGAGCTCAGTGCTGCTTTGACAGGTGCACAGCTGGCAAGAATGATTGAGACTGAGCTCGGGATACCTCCTGATCACATTACCCTTTGGTCAGACTCCACAACCGTGCTGTACAGGATAAAATGAGAATCCTGCTGTTACAAAGTGTTCATTGGGACATGCGTTGCAGAAATTCAGAACCTCACAAATGCTGATCAATGGCAGTATGTTGACTCACTGAATAATCCGGCTGATGACATTACACGTGGGCTCACACTGCAAGAGATGATAAAGAAATTATCGCTGGAGCAAAGGTCCACATTTTCTGTACCTGCTAGAGACTGAATGGCCCATCATGGTCTCAGCTGAGATGGGACCAGATGCTACAGAGTTGAAAAAGTCAGCCTTTCCAGTACCCCATCTCAACAACTTCCTGATCCCTGTAAGATCTCTAGCTGGAACCAGCTTCTTCATGATACTGCTAGCTCCCTTCATGGGGCGTCTGATGGCAATACCACATCAACCTGTGCAGTTTAAGATTATTTACAATCAGAGAAGCTGATATTACAAAGGGCTCCACAGGACTGTTTTGCTGAGGAAGTAAAGGCTCTTAAAGCTGAAAAGGCTCCTTCTTCCGACAGTTGACTTGCATCTCTGTCACCAGACTATGACGTAGAAACAGACCTTCTCGGAGTGTGCGGCAGGCTGCGAGGTAGAGAGCATTCATGTCTGGAGTGCCAACGATGGTAAACATGTTCCCAAAATGCTGATTACCCACCTGCTTGACTATGACTTTATAAGCCACGCTTTTATTCAACCGGAGTTGATTGCTTTGGACTTTACCAGATGAAGATAGGTTGTTGCATTGAAAAAAGGTGGAGCATCATTTATGAATGCATGACAACTCCCTCAGTGCATCTGGAGTTGTTTGAGCGCCTCGACACAGACGCATTCCTGCCTTCACTCAGAAGATTAATTTCCCGACGTGGTAAACCATTTGAACTCCTCATGGACAATGGAACCACTTTTGTCAGGGGAGAGCAGGAATTACGTGATGCATTCTCTGAAATGGAACATTGATTGAGAGAAGATCTCGCTGCATAACAGATATTCTTCAGATTCAACCCTCCAAGTGCACCTCATTTTGGCGGTACATGGGAGAGGGAGGTGAAATCTATGAAGACTGCACTTCGTGTTGTTCTTAAAGACCAGAGAGTGCCTGAACTGGTGTTGGTAACAATCCTAATGGAGTTCGAAGGTAGAATGAATGCTAAACCCCTAGGTTACTTATCTTCAGATGTTTCAGATCCTGACCCAGTCACGCCAAATCTCCTCCTAATGGGCCTCAAGCAGTCTATAACCCTAGCGATCTTGGGAAAAGGCGTTGGAGGCACAGTCAAGTCATCGCTGATTGATTCTGGTCATCTTTCATCAGCTATTACTTGCCAGGGCTACAAGAGCGCAGCAAGTGGAGGAAAGATGGCAAGGCACTTACAGTTGGGAGACATCGTCTTTATAGTAGATCCTCAACTCCCTTGAGAATTGTGGCCTGTAGGGCGGATTTCACAGACCCATCGTGGAACGGATGGAGGTGTTCATACTGCTAGTGTCCACGTAAAGAATCGTACCTATGTTCGTACAGTTGCCAGACTCATACTCCTTCCAGCACTTGAGGACAAGGATGAGGTTAGCATCACTGAATAGACTTTCTCCTACACTTTCAACTGCCAAGTGGGCAGTTGGGGGCGGCCTTGTCTGAAAGCCTATCAGTGAGTGCTAGGATTTCCAAGGAACACTTGAACGCCTCATCCCATGAGCAGCGTCTTGACAGTGAATGCGGGGTGCAGCTCAGACGAGACTACTCGGAGCTGATGAAAACATTCTCAGAGAGAGCTTGTTTCCAGTTTTCTGTGCGTTTTATGGACCCCAAGTCAGTTTGATGCTGCCCTGGCCTGTTTATATATACTTTTCAGGAAGATTTGTTTGTTTATATATAGTTTAATTCAACATGGTTAAGTCACATTTTTCCATGTATAAAGATACAGAGTGCTGTTACTTATTTCTTGTACTCCATGATATATGTAGCCTGACAAATGTTGAATCAGTACTTATATCTGTTCATATAAGTTCAGATATACTTTTTTGGTTTCTTTATTACCGTTTCAATGTTACTGACTGCTCTGATTAGTTTAATAGTGTCAGTGTTTGATACAAGCTTACAGTAGACTTAAAAGGTTAGCTAATATTGGTCTTTATTTATCTATATAGCAGATTCCTGTTTAGTGGATATATTGTTTTTTGTTAATATGGATAATAAGCAGGGTAATTTGTAGCTGTTTATTACTGTTATAGTTGCAGGTATTTAATTATCCTAATTGCATTTTACATCTATCTCTTTGGTTAGACCACACACATACAGAGAGAAATACAAATACATGTTTATTCCTTGGATTTGATGACCTGCTTTCTCTCTCTCCCCTGACTCTTTTCCCCCTTCTTCCTCTCCTCTCACCAGAATTTCCCCATAGTGGGACAATAAAGGAATTTTCAATTCCTGCTCTCTGTGTTAGATGTTCAGTTATTCCTCTGCCTCCTTTAATGATAATGGGATGAGTAATAAGTGTATTCTAAAAACGTTAAAAAAACCAAACCACTGAACTTTGTTTCCAAGTTTGAAGGCGTTTCTCTTCCATCCAGGAAGCTTTTTCAATTCAAAATGTCAGAAATAGCGTTCAGTTCCAGGTTTTATCCAGCAGCCCAACAAAGCCTTGTTTAGTTTAGAAAACATTCAAATTGAAACAAACGGGTCCCCCCTTTGGAATGGGGGTCGTTTGGCTTCTTTGTTAGCCTGCAATGCCCCATACCTGTCTATGTCTCTGAAAGGGTGTCGTTAAAGTCATAGTGAAATCAAATTTAAATGTCAAATCATTCTGGCTTAAACATGTATATAAATGTTTTCTTTATTAGACCATATTTTCCCAAAAGTTTCTATTTAAAAAAAAAATCCTGTCTTAAAATCAGTTTTTTTTCTCTTTATCTTCTGCAGGCCAGTTAGTTCTACTTGGTCCCAATGGAATTTCCCATCGGGAACCTGCTAGCACTAAGTTGCTAACTGGTTAGCAAGATGCTTCCCACAAACCGGCCCAACCAAACTTGTTTGCAAACCTTCCGCCACAACAATCCCGCCCCCTTGATAATCGACCAATCACATTCACTTTATTAACTCCTGTAAAGTCGGGCACCACTCAGGAGAATTCAGAAATACTTAAACCTAAAGGGAATTGTCGGTCTGGCTGAATAGGCGAGGTCTTCTGTTCCCCTGTAAAGGGGGAGGGGTTGCGATGATAGCAGGAAGGTTTCTGTAATAAATGTAGTATTTTTATAGGTTTGGAGGCAAAGGTGTCAGAGCTAGAATCCTGGCTTGGGGCTGTTGAACATCCAGGAGTTAGAGTAGGCCTTCTTGTTGAGGCCCAGAGCCACCAAGACCAGGGACAGCCCCACGTAGTGAACCCTACAGTGCCTGAGCAGCTAGGCGATTGGGTAACGGTACGCAGAAAGCAGTAGGGGATCTCTGCCCACAAGAAATATGTTTACTGAGAAAAACTGTGGAGTTTTCCATACTTATTTTTCCCCTTGTAAATATATCCATCTATTCTTTTTCTTGTTTCCTGTAACGATATAAATGAGAAGGGGGGGATTTTACACTGAAGCTGATCTGATGGGAGATTAATGGTAAACCACCAGGTAGAGAAAAATAAACACTAAGAAGGCAGTAATGTTTGTGTGAAATGGAGCATGTAAAGGATGAGGCTGAAACAGAAATGCCATAAAGTTTTATTTTGGTAGAAAAGACATTGAGGTATTTCTGTCCATTCGGGTCTGCAGTGGACCATTTACTTCTGCTGATTTCTGCCGCAGCTCAGAAATCAGGATGATTTCAATCAGACTGATCACTTCCTGTATTAATATGATGCAATCATTGCATCAGCTTCCTTAAAAACTTAGCCTGCACCGGCTCCAGGAGGTGAAAGGGCAGGAGCATGAAGAACGCCGCCAGAAACACTACGCTCACCACCGCCAGGAGAACGTAGCGGCCAATGAACAAAGAGTCCACGACCTGCAGAGAGAAGGAGGAAAGGAATAATGACTGCTCCAACTCCACAACCCTTCTATGGATGGATGGATGGATGGATGGATGGATGGATGGATGGATGGATGGATGGATGGATGGATGGATGGATGGATGGAGGATTGGTGAAAAGATGAATGGACGAAAAATAAAAGTTTTTTAGTGAATTCTGTTTTTGTTGCAGTGTTTCCTCCATCAGCCACTAGATGTCACTAGAGGACCTTGAACACATGGAAGCTGCTTTCTGTGCTTCCTGATCATGTCTCTGTAGCAAAGGAGCAGCAGTCATCCTGGACCTCAGAGGGCGGTCAGGTTCAGGTTCTGACTTCCTGTGGTGAACGATGTGTTCACTACCGCTGCACGTCAGAAAGAACTACAACTTCTTCCACTGAACATATATTAACCTTTAACTTGAGCAGATAAATGATCTGCCAGTTAAAATCAGGGTTTGGAGCCAGAATTAGATCATTATTTAAACTGCAAATGAAGAAAGGTCACACTGATATGCTTTGATTTAAAAGGGCAAAGATCTCCTTTCATTACATCAGAATGACCTGATAAAATCAGGAATTCATTGTAGTTCACCTCCTGCTGGATGCAAACAGCTGAGGGCGCCAATCTGTACCATGATGAAGAGGAAGGTGACCCACCAGCTGGAGGTTTTTAGCCGGCCAACACCACCCACCCCCCGCCCGCCCCACCCGATCACCAACCCCCAGCCCCGGGATACAAACTGAGAAGCATGGGGGGGGGGGGGGGGGGGGGGTTCATTCAACGCATCTCCCTGTTTAAATTGCTAATTATGCAGCACGCAGGAGCCCTGAAGTGTGTGATCCATGTTTCATTTATGCAGCGCTGACTGTGTGTGTGTTTGGGGGGGGGGTGTTAGACTGCAGAGTGCAGTCTAACACTGGCCTAATTGGTTCTGTGATATTTCACTGTTGTTTAACAGCAGGAGGTTAAACCAGCCTCTGTCTGCTTCGGGTCCTGCTGCTGAATGTTAATCATGTCTGAACGCCAGAGATCATCAGCAGCAGAACCATTCAGACCACCACAGTGGGACCTCAGAGGGACCACAGTGGGACCTCAGAGGGACCACAGTGGGACCTCAGAGGGACCACAGTGGGACCTCAGTGGGACCACAGTGGGACCTCAGTGGGACCACAGTGGGACCTCAGAGGGACCACAGTGGGACCTCAGAGGGACCACAGTGGGACCCCAGAGGGACCTCAGAGGAACAACAGTGGGACCTCAGAGGGACCACAGTGGGACCTCAGAGGGACCACAGTGGGACCTCAGAGGGACCCCAGAGGGACCTCAGAGGGACCACAGTGGGACCTCAGAGGGACCACAGTGGGACCTCAGAGGGACCACAGTGGGACCTCAGTGGGACCACAGTGGGACCCCAGAGGGACCTCAGAGGAACAACAGTGGGACCTCAGAGGGACCTCAGAGGGACCACAGTGGGTTCTCAGAGGGACCACAGTGGGACCTCAGAGGGACCACAGTGGGACCTCAGAGGGACCACAGTGGGACCTCAGAGGGACCACAGTGGGACCTCAGTGGGACCACAGTGGGACCCCAGAGGGACCTCAGAGGAACAACAGTGGGACCTCAGAGGGACCACAGTGGGACCTCAGAGGGACCACAGTGGGACCTCAGTGGGACCTCAGAGGGACCCCAGAGGGACCTCAGAGGAACAACAGTGGGACCTCAGAGGGACCTCAGAGGGACCACAGTGGGTTCTCAGAGGGACCTCAGAGGGACCTCAGAGGAACAACAGTGGGACCTCAGAGGGACCACAGTGGGACCTCAGAGGGACCACAGTGGGACCTCAGTGGGACCACAGTGGGACCTCAGTGGGACCACAGTGGGACCTCAGAGGGACCACAGTGGGACCTCAGAGGGACCACAGTGGGACCCCAGAGGGACCTCAGAGGAACAACAGTGGGACCTCAGAGGGACCACAGTGGGACCTCAGAGGGACCCCAGAGGGACCTCAGAGGGACCACAGTGGGACCTCAGAGGGACCACAGTGGGACCTCAGTGGGACCACAGTGGGACCTCAGTGGGACCACAGTGGGACCTCAGAGGGACCACAGTGGGACCTCAGAGGGACCACAGTGGGACCTCAGTGGGACCACAGTGGGACCTCAGTGGGACCACAGTGGGACCTCAGAGGGACCACAGTGGGACCCCAGAGGGACCTCAGAGGAACAACAGTGGGACCTCAGAGGGACCACAGTGGGACCTCAGAGGGACCCCAGAGGGACCTCAGAGGGACCACAGTGGGACCTCAGAGGGACCACAGTGGGACCTCAGAGGGACCACAGTGGGACCTCAGAGGGACCACAGTGGGACCTCAGTGGGACCACAGTGGGACCTCAGTGGGACCACAGTGGGACCTCAGAGGGACCACAGTGGGACCTCAGAGGGACCACAGTGGGACCTCAGTGGGACCACAGTGGGACCCCAGAGGGACCTCAGAGGAACAACAGTGGGACCTCAGAGGGACCACAGTGGGACCTCAGAGGGACCACAGTGGGACCTCAGTGGGACCTCAGAGGGACCCCAGAGGGACCTCAGAGGAACAACAGTGGGACCTCAGAGGGACCACAGTGGGTTCTCAGAGGGACCTCAGAGGGACCTCAGAGGGACCTCAGAGGAACAACAGTGGGACCTCAGAGGAACAACAGTGGGACCTCAGAGGGACCACAGTGGGATCTCAGAGGGACCTCAGAGGGACCACAGTGGGACCTCAGAGGGACCTCAGAGGAACAACAGTGGGACCTCAGAGGAACAACAGTGGGACCTCAGAGGGACCCCAGAGAGACCACAGTGGGACCACAGTGGGACCTCAGTGGGACCACAGTGGGACCTCAGAGGGACCACAGTGGGACCTCAGAGGGACCACAGTGGGACCACAGAGGGACCACAGTGGGACCTCAGAGGAACAACAGTGGGACCTCAGAGGGACCACAGTGGGACCTCAGAGGGACCACAGTGGGACCTCAGTGGGACCACAGTGGGACCCCAGAGGGACCTCAGAGGAACAACAGTGGGACCTCAGAGGGACCACAGTGGGACCTCAGAGGGACCACAGTGGGACCTCAGTGGGATCTCAGAGGGACCTCAGAGGGACCACAGTGGGACCTCAGAGGGACCTCAGAGGAACAACAGTGGGACCTCAGAGGAACAACAGTGGGACCTCAGAGGGACCCCAGAGTGACCACAGTGGGACCTCAGAGGGACCCCAGAGAGACCACAGTGGGACCTCAGAGGGACCACAGTGGGACCTCAGAGAGACCTCAGAGGGACCACAGTGGGACCTCAGAGGGACCCCAGAGAGACCACAGTGGGACCTCAGAGGGCCCACAGTGGGACCACAGTGGGACCTCAGAGGGACATCAGTGGGACCACAGTGGGACCTCAGGGGGACCTCAGGGGGACCACAGTGGGACCTCAGAGGGACCCCAGAGAGACCTCAGAGGGACCACAGTGGGACCTCAGTGGGACCACATTGGGACCACAGTGGGACCTCAGTGGGACCCCAGAGGGACCTCAGAGGAACCACGGTGGGACCTCAGAGGGACCACAGTGGGACCTCAGTGGGATCTCAGAGGGACCACAGTGGGACCTCAGTGGGACCTCAGAGGGACCCCAGAGGGACCTCAGAGGAACAACAGTGGGACCTCAGAGGGACCACAGTGGGATCTCAGAGGGACCTCAGAGGGACCACAGTGGGACCACAGTGGGATCTCAGAGGGACATCAGTGGGACCACAGTGGGACCTCAGGGGGACCTCAGGGGGACCACAGTGGGACCACCGTGGGACTACAGAGGGACCTCAGAGGGACTACAGTGGGACCTCAGAGGGACCTCAGAGGGACCACAGTGGGACCACCGTGGGACCTCAGAGGGACTACAGTGGGACCTCAGAGGGACTACAGTGGGACCTCAGAGGGACTACAGTGGGACATCAGAGGGACCTCAGAGGGACCTCAGAGGGACTACAGAGGGACCTCAGAGGGACTACAGTGGGACCTCAGAGGGACCTCAGAGGGACTACAGAGGGACCTCAGAGGGACTACAGTGGGACCTCAGAGGGACTACAGTGGGACATCAGAGGGACCTCAGAGGGACTACAGTGGGACCTCAGAGGGACTACAGTGGGACCTCATTGGGACTACAGTGGGACATCAGAGGGACTACAGTGGGACCTCAGAGGGACTACAGTGGGACCTCAGAGGGACTACAGTGGGACATCAGAGGGACTACAGTGGGACCTCAGAGGGACTAAAGTGGGACATCAGAGGGACCTCAGAGGGACCTCAGAGGGACTACAGAGGGACCTCAGAGGGACCACAGTGGGACCTCAGAGGGACTACAGTGGGACATCAGAGGGACCTCAGAGGGACTACAGAGGGACCACAGTGGGACCTCAGTGGGACCACAGTGGGACCCCAGAGGGACCTCAGAGGAACCACAGTGGGACCTCAGAGGGACCACAGTGGGACCTCAGTGGGACCTCAGAGGGACCACAGTGGGACCTCAGTGGGACCTCAGAGGGACCCCAGAGGGACCTCAGAGGAACAACAGTGGGACCTCAGAGGGACCACAGTGGGATCTCAGAGGGACCTCAGAGGGACCACAGTGGGACCACAGTGGGATCTCAGAGGGACATCAGTGGGACCACAGTGGGACCTCAGGGGGACCTCAGGGGGACCACAGTGGGACCACCGTGGGACTACAGAGGGACCTCGGAGGGACTACAGTGGGACCTCAGAGGGACCTCAGAGGGACCACAGTGGGACCACCGTGGGACCTCAGAGGGACTACAGAGGGACCTCAGAGGGACTACAGTGGGACCTCAGAGGGACTACAGTGGGACCTCAGAGGGACTACAGTGGGACCTCAGTGGGACTACAGTGGGACATCAGAGGGACTACAGTGGGACATCAGAGGGACTACAGTGGGACCTCAGAGGGACTACAGAGGGACCTCAGAGGGACTACAGTGGGACCTCAGAGGGACTACAGTGGGACCTCAGAGGGACTACAGTGGGACCTCAGTGGGACTACAGTGGGACATCAGAGGGACTACAGTGGGACCTCAGAGGGACTACAGTGGGACCTCAGAGGGACTACAGTGGGACATCAGAGGGACTACAGTGGGACCTCAGAGGGACTACAGTGGGACATCAGAGGGACCTCAGAGGGACTACAGAGGGACCTCAGAGGGACTACAGTGGGACATCAGAGGGACCTCAGAGGGACTACAGAGGGACCTCAGAGGGACTACAGTGGGACATCAGAGGGACTACAGTGGGACCTCAGAGGGACTACAGTGGGACCTCAGAGGGACTACAGTGGGACATCAGAGGGACCCCAGAGAGACCACAGTGGGACCTCAGAGGGCCCACAGTGGGACCACAGTGGGACCTCAGAGGGACATCAGTGGGACCACAGTGGGACCTCAGGGGGACCACAGTGGGACCTCAGAGGGACCCCAGAGAGACCACAGTGGGACCTCAGAGGGACCACAGTGGGACCACAGTGGGACCTCAGAGGGACATCAGTGGGACCACAGTGGGACCTCAGAGGGACCACAGTGGGACCTCAGTGGGACCACAGTGGGACCTCAGAGGGACCACAGTGGGACCTCAGAGGGACCACAGTGGGACCTCAGTGGGACCACAGTGGGACCCCAGAGGGACCACAGTGGGACCTCAGTGGGACCTCAGAGGGACCACAGTGGGACCTCAGTGGGACCTCAGAGGGACCCCAGAGGGACATCAGAGGAACAACAGTGGGACCTCAGAGGGACCACAGTGGGACCTCAGTGGGACCTCAGAGGGACCACAGTGGGACCTCAGTGGGACCTCAGAGGGACCCCAGAGGGACATCAGAGGAACAACAGTGGGACCTCAGAGGGACCTCAGAGGGACCACAGTGGGATCTCAGAGGGACCTCAGAGGGACCACAGTGGGACCTCAGTGGGACCACAGTGGGACCCCAGAGGGACCACAGTGGGACCTCAGTGGGACCTCAGAGGGACCACAGTGGGACCTCAGTGGGACCTCAGAGGGACCCCAGAGGGACCTCAGAGGAACAACAGTGGGACCTCAGAGGGACCTCAGAGGGACCACAGTGGGACCACAGTGGGATCTCAGAGGGACATCAGTGGGACCACAGTGGGACCTCAGGGGGACCTCAGGGGGACCACAGTGGGACCACCGTGGGACTACAGAGGGACCTCGGAGGGACTACAGTGGGACCTCAGAGGGACCTCAGAGGGACCACAGTGGGACCACCGTGGGACCTCAGAGGGACTACAGAGGGACCTCAGAGGGACTACAGTGGGACCTCAGAGGGACTACAGTGGGACCTCAGTGGGACTACAGTGGGACATCAGAGGGACTACAGTGGGACCTCAGAGGGACTACAGTGGGACCTCAGAGGGACTACAGAGGGACCTCAGAGGGACTACAGTGGGACCTCAGAGGGACTACAGTGGGACCTCAGAGGGACTACAGTGGGACCTCAGTGGGACTACAGTGGGACATCAGAGGGACTACAGTGGGACATCAGAGGGACTACAGTGGGACCTCAGAGGGACTACAGTGGGACCTCAGAGGGACTACAGTGGGACATCAGAGGGACTACAGTGGGACCTCAGAGGGACTACAGTGGGACATCAGAGGGACCTCAGAGGGACTACAGAGGGACCTCAGAGGGACTACAGTGGGACCTCAGAGGGACTACAGTGGGACATCAGAGGGACCTCAGAGGGACTACAGAGGGACCTCAGTGGGACTACAGTGGGACATCAGAGGGACTACAGTGGGACCTCAGAGGGACTACAGTGGGACCTCAGAGGGACTACAGTGGGACATCAGAGGGACTACAGTGGGACCTCAGAGGGACTACAGTGGGACATCAGAGGGACCTCAGAGGGACTACAGAGGGACCTCAGAGGGACTACAGTGGGACCTCAGAGGGACTACAGTGGGACATCAGAGGGACCTCAGAGGGACTACAGAGGGACCTCAGAGGGACTACAGTGGGACCTCAACCCAACGTTCAAGAGTGAAGGTGGAGCTCCAAGCCAGACGTCACCTGTGGGGGTGAGGAGGAGGAGCTGACTGTGAAGGCAGGTTGGGTCTGAGCTCCTTCCTGATGAGAAACATCTGCACCATCTGAGCAGCATTGAGGTTCAATCTGACTCTGATGGTGAAACGTTCATTTAAAGGACAGAGGAGCGTCTGCAGCTAAGACCCTGATGAGGCTCTCAGGTCGGATCAGGACATGAAAACCAACCCATCATTTGAGGAACGGCTGCAGAGGAAGGAAAATACTGAACCAGATCAGAGATCCAATGTTCTCCCTGAGCAGAGACACCGGATCTAATCACCTTCCTCTTTTTCTGGTTCCGTTCTGGTGCTGATGGTCCCATCAGCCAGGAACACAACCAGGGTCATTAATTAGGCAGAAATCTTCAACCTGCTTCTTAAATCAACGGTTCGAACGCTATGCCAGTGTTGCTACGGCGACTGCTGGTTGTTTACCTCCGTCTCTGTGAAGGGAGGCGGGATCTCTGGGCTCCGAGGGAAGAAGACCAGCACCAAGGTGACGGCGAGCGCCAGGAGGACAACAAGGACGACTCCTAACCTGCAGAACATCAGAACATGTTTCCGTCAGCATGGCGGCGCTATAAGCTGCTCCTCAGGATAAACTCAAGCTAACGGCAGCAGACTGGACCCACGGGAGGTTTTTATGAGGAGAACAACTGGAACACTTCCAGAATAATCCTAATCCTAGTCTGGAGGCTTTTAAAATGAAAATATGAGCCTTTATTCAGTCTTAGCTTGATATAAACACCAACCTGGAGGAATAAAGACCCAAAGCGGACTCATCCAGAGATGTCAGGCTAAAACCCGGTACGGTTCTGGTTCCAGCTCTCCAACCACGTCCGCCTCTGGACCAGTCGGTATCCAGGAAGCGGTGATTGTTCAGCTTCTCACTATCAGCCATGTTCTGCTGCTCACTGAGATGCTAAGGGTTAGAGAAGGACCGGCAGAGCGGCAGAGACAGGAGAAAACTCCCAGAATGCACTGCATCTAACCCTTATGGAGGAGAACCATGTTTTGGCTGTGTGGGTGAGGACACACCCGTTAGCGCTCTGCTCTCATTGGTCAGTTAACGGAAAAGTCGCTCATATTCAGAATTCAAACTTCTGAAAGTTCTTTAAATCTGAAATGATTCCATCCTGTTCAATAAATGATCAGTGTTTTTAATTCAGAGTCATTTCCATGTGAATGTGCTTTACTGGAGGCATCCATGTTTGTCAAAGAACACTACTGCCACCCACTGGTTAGTGACGTCACGGTGCGGTATCGGCTGTTGATCAAGTCCCAGTGCTGTATCTGGTGTTTGTCACAACGCGCTATTATCCAAGTCATCTTGAAAACATCTGCTCACACTGTACGTCTAAAAACCAGTGAGATGGCGTTACTCGGACTCGTCTATCCGGAAGCCAAACCAATAGAAGTAGACTAGACTATGAAGCTCACTAGAGTGAAACGTGCTGCCTTGGCTATTTGTGCTGAAAGCCCTAAAAAGAAAAGGAGACGACGTATTTGGACAAAGACATGGCTGAGCAAACGTGGCTACTACGGTCTGTCAGTTTGACAGAAAGAACTCCATTTCACTCATTGCCCCCCGCCATGCTTCTTGGTATTCATCTGAGAGGACGACCACCTTACGATGGCCGACTGAATTTCAAACATGTTTGAAATGCTGAGTTGGCAGCTCTGTATGCAGATTAAGAATATAATCTGTGAGCAAAGTTAAATTCTGCACCCGTCGCCATGGTGAATCGTGTTTCCTGGTCTCCACTGATCAGGGCTTCCTCTGCTCACGTAATCCTGAAATCTGGGCTGATTGAGCTCAGAGTCCAGTCAGCTGATCGCTTCCATCTGTTCTGAGTCACAGACTGAGTTGGTTGAGTCAGAGTAACTCCTCCCTACTCAGGATTGGTTAATCCCATCTTCTGAGACGGAGTCCAGGTGTCCAGGAAACAATCCAGTCTCATCAGACTGGTTGTTAGATTTATCCACCAAGCTGCCATGGTTGATATGAAACATCCACTGATGGATGTTTTCACCACTGAATGAAAGACAAACATGTTGTTGATCCGCTTGAACTAAATCAGAGATGTTAGCAGCGACTCATGGGAATATTTGAGGTTATGTGGAACGTCTAACAGCGGATTGCTGCATCCTTTCAGCCAGCTGACCAGCTGTGTGCAGCACAGGATTTAGCTCTGCTCAGCCTTTCTGTTCTAAATGCATGATAATCATTCCCATCCCCGGATTACACGTGGACCGCATGACGTCATTCCACCTGGATTGAATTCTTACTTTAATCTCTCAGTCAGTTTATTTTATGGATTAAAAATATTATAAATAAAATGAGACCAGTTTCTTCTGACTCATTTAAACACTGCAGGTTTACCTAAACAACAAACTACAATTACTAAACTTTATTTCCTTTATGCTGGATTATAAATCAGTAATTTTCCAGATTAAATTGGGGGCCTTTTGAAGGAGCCGCAATTTGCTGGGATTACTCACCGAGCGGACCCAGCGGCTCTCAGCAGGACCAGCGATAACAGCAGAGCTACGACCCAAACGATCCCGATCACAAACACCCCGGTACCGACCTGCAGCACCGCGCTGCTCATCCCGAACCTGGAAGGCGGGTCAGTTGGTTCCCCACTAACCGGACTTCCTGCTGTTAGCCACAGAAGCTAACTGACCGGTGAGCGGCGCTATGTGGGAGGAGACAGCAGCACCGGAGTCCCGGTTCTACAGAGATAAAACAATCCGAGCGAAGAAGCTGTTGATCAAACGGATTTCTCCAGCGTCCGGTGCTTCCTGGTAACCAGAAGCTTCGTTGTGATTGGATAATCGTGTATCCCCACTGACCAATCACAGGCCTCCTTCATTATATACTAACAAAGAGCGGCTGCGCCTCATCAGTCAGCCCGCGAGGCGAACGGTGCGCCGGATGGGAGGGGATAGAGTGACTAAACACACTAAATAACCTGCTGCTCATCTGGAGGAGTTTAATCTCCATAAAGATCTCAGCGTTAATAAACTTTAAAACTAACACCATATATATCCTCCATTAACTACATGGAAATATTTACTTATTTATTTTTTCATGATATGATATTTGTCTCCTAGCTAAATAATTATATTTATATAGTTTTTCATTTATTTATTATTTTTTTATGTCTATACCTATTATTTCTTTATGCACATTTTAGAGCGGATGTGACTGGTTTATTGTTTCCTTTAAACTCAATAAATAGCGGGGTGGGGGGTGGGGGGTACCATTAGGGTTTCTGCCTAGGGCCCCAAGTTCCTGGGGGCCCCATAAAACTCTGTTTCCATGTATGGTTAATACAATTATTCCTTATTTGTGCACATTAATTATGTTTTTGATCAAAACCCTTTCTCTAAAATTCCATCAGAACGCTGATAATATTAAGTGTGTCTCAGCCCCCCCCCCTTCAGTGTCCACCATATTGGATCAGTCCATTTGCTGCACATGTTCAGAAAGGTCCAAACAGACAGCAGCAAACCATTTGAAAACAAACCATGCAAAGAGCAGTGTTGCCAACTTAGCGCTTTAGTCGCTATATTTAGCCACTTTTCAGACCCCTCTAGCACTTTGATTTCTAAAAAGCTCCTAGCGCCAAATCTAGAGACTTTTTTCTGGAGACTTTGGAGACAACATCTAAAAGCAGCGAACTCTGCTCTCCAGAGCGAGTAGATTGGTAACCCCGCCTCCTGCTCTCCTCTATCTTGTCTGCTGTCATGATTCATGCAGCTATTATTTCATCCAAATGAAAAATGGAGAACAGATAAGCAGATCATGGCTTGTCTACAGTGAAAAGAAGGACTGGGTTATTTACTTTGGCCTTTTTGGAAACACAGGAAGGAGCAATCAGCTAAGTGAGCTTAGTGCTTGGAAAAAATCTTTCATTCCTTTAGAGACAGCATGAAAAGTCAGCTGAGTACAAAACATAGAGAGGAAAACAAGAAGAAAAGGGACAAGAAGAGAGGGACACAACCTAGAACAGATAATGGATGTCTATTCTATTAACATTTCTCTATCTGGAGAATGGGTCTGTTCTATGTGTTGTCTTCTACATTCAGAGGCCCCCTGCCTGTCTTTGCCTAGGGCCCCAGACTTCCTAAATCCGGCCCTGAATAGTTACAGGCAATTCCTTCGTATTTATAACTAATCATTTCTCATCATCTGTGGTTAATCATGGGTTAACCTCTGAGCATCCTGACCTGGATAGCTCCTCCCACACCGTGTCATTATCACTTCTGCCTGGGAAATGCCCGCCTGTCTGCAAAGGAGCGGACCCAGGCATAAGTTCCATTAAACATAATAAACAGAAACTGATCTGGTGATCTGACATTTATCTGGATTTCACCAAACACAATATTTCCTTCTTTGCTTCGCACCAATCAGACCCAGAGCGTAAGCAGCAGGTTGGGGTGGGGCTCCACCTGTGCTGTTGCATCATGTTTTTAATGCACAGGCTAACATAGGGTGAAGGGTCGGGGTCTGGTGGTGATCAGAGCTTTCAGTAACATCTATCATCCTCGGATCAAACAGCTCCTGTTGGCTGCAGACATAAAAGAAGAAAAAAAAGGTTTGACAGTAAAAATGGAAATAAAAGCTGCTTCTGTTCAGAACAGAAAGTTTATTCCTCACAATAAGGACAGAAGTCAGGTTTCTAATTTAAGAAGGGAAATACATTCAACAGGGAGATGACAACGCCCTTTATTCTACAGCAAAACCATTTAAAGACTTCATGAAACATATTTTCCTATTGTGGCAAATTATTTATTCCCAGTTAAGTTAATTCTGAATCAAACCAAGATGCTTTTAATGCTCTGAGAAAGGGTTCAGTTTCCTATGGACAAGTGGAAGAAACTGGAAAAAAGTCCTGCTAATAGATCGGATTGTGGAGAAGTGGGATGGTTGCATTGAAAAGTCAGCTCATTATCCACCAGGGAGGCAGCATAGAGGAAAACCACACTGGGAATTACACATTTAGCACCGAAGTCATCGTTTACTAATAGCATTTAAATGGTAGGAAAACTCAGATTCCACCAGATGACTTTCTTTTTCTTTCATTTCTTCTGCTCTTCCTGCCCCCAAACCCAGGGGTGGAGCTAGATGGGGGGCCAGGGGTGGCCATGGCCAGCCTTATCCAATCATTGCCCCCCCTGTGGCCACCCCTACCATTCTTTCCCTCTTAAACATACGATGGCAGCAGTAATACTGTCAAGTGGAATATTAAAAACATTTTAACTTTTCATATATTAACAATTACTTGACAATAAAAACACTTTGGTTAATGATGCGCATCAATATACTAACATTAAAGATGATAAATATAGAATTAACACTCTTTTCAGAACTAGATTTTGTATTTTATGGGGTAAAGAGAAAATCACGTGTCTCTGTAAATTATCTAAGAGTCTTCAGTGAAATCATAGAAAAATAACTATTTTAATAAAAACTCATTAAATAATTAATTCATGTAGATATTATATTAGTTAAATATGAGTTTTATGCAGAATGATTATTGATTAAAGTAGGTCAATAATGACAATGGAAAAGATTTACGCCCCAGAACTGAAACTTGGAAGAATTTTATCCACTATACCTTTAATTTAAAAAGCACGGATGTTTAAATATATGCGTCTATTTGTTAGCAAAGACTGCAGCAAAGAATAGTTTGTCTTTATTTAGAGAATATGGATGTTTTGCTCGTTGATTTTCCAGTTGGATCAGTGTAGATTGATCCTGAGGTTCAGCCCTCAGTGTATGTTGGTTATTGGCTGGACAGCCGTATTAAAATGTTCTGGCTACGCCTCCGCCCAACCGCCCCCAGTTTATAGATATTCAACCCCACCTCAACGTTATTACTGGGTCTGGGCCAAAATATTCACCAGTAAATTTGACATTCCAGGTTCTTCTGGTAGAAACTTTGTGTTTTGGAAGAAAAAAAAAAAAGAAAAATCCTGGAAAAAACCACCAGGCAGAAGAAAGTTCCAACCCTGCTCTGAGATTAAGATTATAATCCATTGAACTACCCTGTTACAGCTCAGTTAGATTAATGAAACGTCTTTAAGTTTATCTATGAAAAACTTTTCTTGAGCTCAGTACAGGGAAAACCCAGAAACAAACTTATTAGAGGCTGCAAAAGACTTTAGATGTTCACCTTCCAGTGAGAGAAATCTGAGAACAGCAGATCTATAGGAGACTGACCTTAGATCAAAGCATGTGTGAGAGCGGCCTAGTCAAAGTCCAGATTTACGTCCAGTAGACAAACACGAGTTTATCACATAAAAAAATAGTTTCTAGATATAATGCCGTAAAGCGTAGATCTACAATGTACAGACTGAGGGGCGCTAATATTTGGAAAACAAAAACTGAAAACCATCTTTTCTTCAGGATGATCAATTTAAACTTTCCTTTATACACGTCTTCATGTTCCCTGAATTCCCCGTGTCTGGTGACATGAAGGGGAAATGCTTCAAAGGGTGTGAATACTTCTGCCACTCGTTGTTTTAGCTTCTGTTTTATTGCTAACTGACTCTACTGAGCCTGACTTGGATCATTTAAAGGCTTCCTCTTTCCCTCCCAGATCTGCTATTCCAGCGGTTGTCCTCTGGGTGGCGCTGCAGGAACCCAAGATCAACAGAGATGGAAGGAAAGTTGATCTCTGAGCCATTCTGGATTAAAAGCTCTACATTAAAACAAAAAAGGATTGAATGTAATATTTAAAATCATTTTTTTAATATTTATATATAAATATGTGATAGATGAGAAGTTGTATTTAATCTTTTTTTAAGTTTATAGGGAATCTAGTGCTTCTAGATCTGTTTTAGTTTCACTGAAGTTTGAGTTTGATGTGAGAAAAGCATCAGAGGTTCTGCCCAGAAGATGGAGACCAAACGGGTTCCTTTACAGAGACCAGCTAACCAGAAAGCCTCCATCCGTTATGTCCAGGTCTGGTCCAGGTCTGTTCCAGGTCTGTTCCAGGTCTGGTCCAGGTGTGGTCCAGGTGTTGGCGGTGTTTCTATGAGAAACCTTCATCCACATCAAACAGGACCAGACCAGGAGGTGCAGATAGATTTCTTTCAGAGAACAACTTGAGGAGAACCGGAGGAGAACCGGAGGAGAACTTGAGGAGAACCAGAGGAGAACTTGAGGACAACCAGAGGAGAACTGGAGGAGAACCAGAGGAGAACAAGAGGAGAACCAGAGGAGAACTGGAGGAGAACCATAGGAGAAATTGAGGACAGCCAGGGGTGAACCAGAGGAGAACCGGAGGAGAACTTGAGGAGAACTGGAGAAGAACCGGAGGAGCACTTGAGGACAGCCAGAGGAGAACCAGAGGAGAACCGGAGGAGAACTTGAGGAGAACTGGAGGAGAACCGGAGGAGAACCAGAGGAGAACCGGAGGAGAACCAGAGGAGAACTTGAGGACAACCAGAGGAGAACCGGAGGAGAACCAGAGGAGAACTTGAGGACAACCAGAGGAGAACCAGAGGAGAACCAGAGGAGAACAAGAGGAGAACCAGAGGAGAACTGGAGAACTGTTCCAGAATGAATGATCTTCTGGTCACGATCATCAGCCTGAGGTTCCTCATCAGTATCCAATATGGCCGCCTTGTGGCATCTTTTAATGTTCAGATTCCTTCATTAAATCTTTATTCACACTTTAAACTGTTTTTTTGTTTTTGTTTGATCAGTGGCAGTGAAATTGTACCTTTTTGTCACCATGTTCCATTATTGCAACAGGAAGTGGAGGAAGTGACGTCACTAAACTTTAATAATTAAAAAATAAGCAGCCAGAAAAACTACCAAAGTGT